TAACAGACAGGGCTCTGGACCCGTCACAGACCGTGACAGACAGGGTTCTGAACCCATCACAGACCATGACAGACAGGCTTTGGACCCATCACAGACCGTGACAGACAGGGTTCTGGGCCCATCACAGACCGTGACAGACAGGTCTCTGGACCCGTCACAGACCGTGACAGACAGGCTTTGGACCCGTCAGAGACCGTGACAGACAGGGCTCTGGACCCGTCACAGACCGTGACAGACAGGACCCAGGGGTCATTATAGACCGTGATAGAAGACTTCAAGGAAATATCAGAAATGATGTGTTATGTTCGAAGTGTTCCCCTTCGAACATAAGACAGAACGAAACGAATGATGAGTACTCCTTTCTAGTACAGTGGTTAATACGACTGCCCGGAAAGCAGGAGATGCATGGTTCGATTCCATGCGAAGGGAGATTATTCTTTTGTTCTGTTCTGTGGTCATACCATCACGTTGCTTTCTCGGTGATAAGAAAGAACAATGACATAACATGATGCATAACTAACATATGATTGGAGCATATATAGAGTATTATCCTGTTCAAAGTCTATAATGTAACCCAATATACATAAAACAACAGCTTTTAGAACATCGGCTATAGCAGCTACATCGTGTTTCACATTTTTAATCCCGCAAGGGATTGCGCTAACAGCTTTTCGTATAAGAATGAATCCAACTGTTTTTCGATTATTTTCCATTTTCATGTAGCTGTTTGTTTTATTTCAAACAATATATACAATAATTTCATAATAGTAGATAAGCCATCTAACGATTCCATTAAGTAAGAAAAAAATCAACCATGGCAACTTCTTCTCACTCTTCACACCCACAATTCACATCCTCAACTTATGATTTTACTTTTGTGTTTGATTTCTTCTGAAGTTCAATCAATCAAACACATTATCACACAGTAAAGTCGACAGATGAGACTTACACTCTTAAAAGCATCCTCGACATGTTAACTCACCTTTGTGAATGGTAAGACATCCATCATTCTGGTTTACCTTTCATCGGAAAAAAAACAACGCATAAATTGAGGATGCATACAACAAGCACATAATGTACATAGGGAATACGAAAAAGTGAAGCCGTTAAACTAACCGTCACACATATGATTGATTCAGGTAGACACTATGTTGGAAAAAAGGAACAAGTGTAAGCTACTATAAATACCAAGTAATATTGCTTGCAGGTTCAGATTACAAGATATACATTTCGATATCGCTTGTTAAGTAGTCATAGTTAATCGTTAAAATTTTTACACCAACAATATATTTCATTTTTACAATACATCATTAGAGTTATACAAGTGAGAGCACAACTGACGGAAGATGAACATTAATTTTCCAGTTAGCATAAGGGAGAGGATGAAGCTGTATGTAATGTTCTGTCTTTTTTTTGCGCCCTCATAAGGTAGATAACATCATGTAGTAGCTCAATTTCAGACTTAAACGAAAACTAGAAAATCGACACTCGGCAATCATCTTTAGTCTAGAGTCTCGTTTTTATACGTGCGCATTAGCGATCATTATATTCTTACGATGATATATATCAATAAGTCTTACAACATGATTATATTCATAAGAAATGATTAAATCCAGGTTTCATGTGTGACTTCTTCGAGCTCGACGCTTCTGCCTCACAAAATTTGATCAAATCCTCGAGTTTCACCATTTACTATTTTGCTTTAACTAATTCTGAAGTTTTTCACTAACTTGGTTCTACGATAGTTAGCTACCGAGCAATGAATTCTATAAGACGAATATGGATGGGAATAGTTATCTCATCTCTCTTTTTTTGTTTCTGAATAGTATTCACTATCGACATTACCTTTTTTGATGTTTCTATTTTCAACATCTACTTTTTTCAATGTTTTTTAGAAATCAACTTCTTGCAACATTTCTTACCAGGCTTGAATTATTTTTCCAACTATAGATGACCATGAAAAGGAATTTGAAAATTTGTTAAAGAATGTTGTTGAAGATCAACGCGGAGTGAACCGTGCTATCGACGAATTATACAATAAAGAAAAGACAGAAGCTGAAAGAGAAACAAAAATTACACAAAGCGGACAAGGTCAACATGTGATCAACAAGAGCATTCTGACGCTTCAAAAAGGAATTATTGAAAAGTTTGTTGGGCGTTGGTATTGCGACATACAGAGCAAATTAAATCAGTTGCAAGAAAATAGTCAAATAAAAAAAGCTATGGACGGTATGATATACTTTACAGACAATAAAGAGACAATTCAGGATATGAAAGCTTTTTTTGAAACGGGATATGTTGATCGAAATGCACCAATTTACAGGGTATTTTGTGGTCTTATTAGGTTTGCAGCCTTCAAGCACATGGAATTGTTTGACAGACAGGATAAAAATAATCCATACAAAACTATAATTGAAAAGCTCTGTTCTAAGATGAATAACAAGGAAATATATGTGGATCAGGCTGCATTAAATTCCTGGTTACAACAAAAACAAAATAGTAAGAAAAAGCGAGATGAAGCAACAAGACAATATGAAGCAGCAAAAGAATGTTGTAAAAAAATGTTGACTAATTTGGCAAAGAATACGGAGATTTGGGTTGCCGAGCTGAAGGAAATTCGGAAACAATATCAGGGAAACTAGCTAAGATTAATTAAGTATATCAGATTCCAGATTTTACTGCCGCTACGAGGATCATCAGTTGGTCTTATTTTTTGTATAATTCATTAAATTGATTCATAGAGATCGAAATAAAACTAATAGTTCATAAAAATTCGAAATAAAACTTTTGAAAAATCAAAAGGTAGTTCAAAATGCTACTGAAAGAGTTTCTGAATTGAGGTTACTATCACTACATGCCCGAATAACGAAATAGAAGGCATTATTGTGCGATATTTGCATGGTGTGAGTATGGGCGGGGATGGGGGTGAGGGTGGGGGTGGGTGTATGGGTGAGTGTGGGTGGGGGTGTGGGTGAGTGTAGGTGGTGTGAGAACTACCCAACTATACACTCACACCCACACCCACACCCACACCCACACCCACACCCACACCCACACCCATCCACACCCACACCCACACCCACACCCACACCCACCCACACCCACACCCACCCTCACCCACACCCTCGATCTTTTTTGGCTCAAGAAAAAATTACACTTGTTATTATGAAAGTTGCTACAAACTTAAATATTAATTAGATCTTATCTAATAGAAATATTGTCAGAGTTGGTAAAGAATTTTTATATTTGCAGTTAGTGAAAATTGGTATAGATCAAATCAAATTATTTTCATTTTAAATAAAGAAAACAAAAAGAAATGGTAAACATTTATGCAGTCATATAGATTTTATCAAAAAGAAAACTCTTTTATAATAAAATGTCTCAAAACTCTATCGTGAAAGTAAACTTAAATATTTCCCATATCAAATAAAGGATTTAACTCACTTTTTTTAATAATATGTCCGTTTATTCTATTAAATTTTTGTTTGATATAATTTAATTTATAGCAAAAAACAAACAAAATAGTATTAATTATCAATAACAAATCTTTCCTTTTTAAACTATTGCAAACATTTAGTTTTTCGAATTAGTCAATTTATATAATCGATTTTAAATTTAAATTTAACCAGATCTTAATATATCAGTAGTAAATTTTGTTTAATTTCAATTTCTAATAGATGAATTTGCGGTGTGTTATATTACTAACAAATGAAATACAATATAAAGTTCAATATTTCGGGATACGAAATAAAAATCTTCCTTTAACACCATTATTCTCATGAGAATCTTTGATATATATACATACCAACGTTCGAATATACTTAATGTTTTTCTTTATCGTTTTAGATAATCTTCAATGATATTGGTAGCGTAACCAGAAATCGTTTGGTGGGTTGGTGCTGCCCTAGCGATTTTTAAAGGGTTATATAAGGTGCTGTAGTTTGTCTCTTTTTCTCATACAAAAACGATGTTATAGTTCACCTACTTTAAGAAATATATTTTAAAATTTGTTACTTTTTCATTTAAGGATCCTCAAAAATTGATTTCGATTCAAGAACGTTGGCACAAGCTGAAATTTGAAGAATATATTGGGAACAATAATCGGAGTCTATGATAAAATTTTCAGTCAAAACCTATTTTATTGAAAAAATATATTGACGAAACAATATCGAAAAGTAGCTAATTTAGCATTCCAAAATTCTTTGTAATGGTTCTTCCAGTATATTGAACTATTTTTTTTTTGTTAGAAAGAGCGTGTCAAGTTGCAGTGTACCACTTCGTTCTTTTTCTGAAATATCTCCTTTTTAATCGGAAAAAAATGATTACAAATTGAATGACTAATAACTTTATTAAACAATAGTAACCAAAATATATCATTGACTTGAAAAAAAAAAAACTTAAACAAAACATGAGAGAAAAAAGAAAAAGATTTTTGAATATTTCAAAAGAACTACTACTTTTTCGAATAGAGGTTTTCAAAAAAAAAAAAGTTATGGAAGAAAGATTTTTATCGTACTTTCCATGTACTCATCTCTATTTTGATAGTTCTCACGAAAATTGTCTTCCTTTAATAATGAGGTAGGATTAAGTTAAGAAAACTATTCAAATGTTATGAGACTAACAAAATTCTGATATTTTTTTTAAACTAGTAAAATTAATCGTGAATTTTTCGAAATTAATGCTAAAATCACCTTCCACTGCTAAAGCCAATTATTATTGTCACAATAGACATCTTTCTATGCCAAACGATAATTTATTTTTAAGAATGTATTCAATTGATCAATTTTTATCAAATTTTTATTTTTTATTTTTTATTTTTGAAAGATTTCCGGTGAGTGTGCTGAACCCAGACATACACTAAAGGATGAGATTCCGGAATTTCGCCAATATATCCCCAAACGTTTGACAATGGCGAATGTCTTATTGGCGAACGTCCGGCTACCTTGATGAATATTATTATCTAATCTCTGTCTAACTGGACACAAGATTTCAGAATAGTCTTATACAGATAGAACACTATATTAAAGATAAAATTTATTTTTATTCTTCATCATAAAATAACCAAAAATTTATTATTATTTACTTAGCAATATATTCTCGGACTAATTTATATGGATGATCAAGCATTTCTTTCGCATGTTCATTAATTGCACACCAAATACTTGGTACACGCCATTCAAAATTAGTTAATTTCAAAACTAAAAACCAACATGATGTTTCAAGAAATGTGTTAACAATAGTTTGATCATTTATTAATGTACGAATGAATTGAATAAGATGATGCATTCGACGAGGATCTAAATCTTCCTATAAAATACGAAAAGTTATTGATTAGAAAAAACAAAACAAAACAATGAAATTCTTATTAAAACAAACCATGCCAAATTTAAAACATAAACCCCAATATGATAATGTTTCAGGATTAAGATTTGTACAAATTTCATTAAGAAGTGGAATTAATTTTTGCCATAATTCTTCAAGCTACAATAAATTGAAATAAATTTATTATATTTATAAATTAATTCAATATAGATCTTTACATACCGCTTCTAATGTCCAATATTTTGAACCTCGAATTATTCCAGCAACAATTTCAGCTGCTACTCGATGACAATTTTGTTGTTTTTCTTTTGTTTTTTCATGAATTAAAATATCTAATTGTTCCATAAAATTACTAATTAAATCCAAACCAAAATTTCGAAATAAACCCTAGAGAAAAAAACACAAAATATAAGTATATTTAAATTTTACTATTGAAAATTAATATTTACTTTAAACATTCGAAAACGATTAAAATTAAAAGTAATTTCATCTAGTTCTTCTTCAATAATCATATATTGTATAAGTTTACTAATAAAATTTCTATTTATAAATCGATTGTATAAAATTACAACATGTTCCGGCATGGTTTCTTTTGTATAACGTTCACGTTTATTCATTGGAGGGTGTGGGTGTGGGTGTGGGTGTGGGTGTGGGTGTGGGTGGGTGTGGGTGTGGGTGTGGGTGTGGGTGT